CAAAGAGGGCCGAAATGCTGTAATTTTAGAAACATCCCAGATCCTCAAAGTTTGACCGAAGGGACTGCAGGCAGATGCTGCAGAAAGCTTTGTTTCATTGCTTTTTAAATGTCAAGGCTCTGCCCCGTATTCTTTCTATTATTTCACCCACGTTTACCAAAACGAGCTGCAGAAAGTCAGAACTGTGCGACTGAAAGCTGTCAGGAAATTGCCATGCCCGCCCCCATCAGTTTCCATTGTATTTTGAGACACTGCTAAAAGGAAGACTCGTCTGTGATATATCCACCCAAAGCTTTTATCTTCTTTTAAATAGGGGGCTTTAATTCTTGCCCTAGACTAGGTGGGGAAAAAATCTGGGGTGAACAGATTCATGAAGGAAAAGGCAGGAAAAGACCTAATCCTTAAACTGTGCAGAGGAAATGTAGCCTATCCCATTGCGCACTCGGTAATTGTAAAGTACCCCAAGGAGGAGTCTCAAAAATGGACAGTTTTTCAGTCTGAAGCTTTTAAAAGCCAACTCTAATAAGGAAACTTGGGAATATCTTGGGCAGTGGGAATTGCATCTTTGCTTTCCAGACTGCACAGTCAACAGTAACTTTAAGGAAGTTACCGTAATTAACATTCCAAAAACATTGGAATCATGTCAGATTGCATTGTTGTTATTATTATTTTCAGTACAGGAAAATGTTGAGTGCCTTCCCTGTTAACATTCCTGGTAGCTCTTTGGGTTTAGACTTGCTCTGCAAAATTAAAGCAAGTCTCTTGGGATTTTTCCAGCCACGTTGCGCAATCTTCCCTCTTCTTGCCAAGATCTGTCACATTCCTTGCCTTTCCTCTGTTGTCCTCCTGCCACTGTAAACCGTCTTTCCAGTTTAGCAGATTGCCCTTGTTAAATTCAGAAAGATCTTTATTAGAACCTTGATTATTAAAGGGAGGCATTCCGATGTTAATGGATAACTCTAAAAGTGCTGGGACCTGTCCTATTAAAACAGATGTTTTGCTGGCACAGTGTGTCTTTGTGCTGCAGAAAGTCGATGGGGGGTTTTGCATCAAGTTTGCTTTCAGGCTCAGAGCAAAAAGTAGTTGCTTTTCTCCAGAAACATGACTGAATTTCTTTGCTTGCTTCTTCTTCTTCTTAGGTTTGTCAGTTTGTGATTTCAGTGAACGGACTCAACGTTCTCCATGCAGATTACAGGACTGTAAGCAACCTCATCTTAACTGGTCCTCGGACGATCGTCATGGAAGTGATGGAAGAAATTGAGCCCTGAGGCGGGATGCTTGACGTGATGCTCCACTATTGTGGATTCAGCCCCTGTCCAAATACAAGCAACATTCTACTTTGTGGGGACAAAAACATACTTTTTTCTCAGAGATCAATTTTGCCTTCTAAGTACTTTCCTCTCCTCTTTAGTAATAGGTTTTTTCAATGGATGTAGTCTAAGACCATGGGTACGCATTGGCGAGTCTAAACTAGGGAAGCACAAATCAGCTTGTACTACACAAAGGAACTGTTGCATATCCAAGTCATGGCAAGCGTAGACGGTCAATCTTACAGATGGACAAGATCCGATGCAGCTGTGAAATCTCTTAACTAGGAATCATGTTTGTGCCAATCTCTTCAACATTGTCTTGTTTTCTTTTTAATTCATGCTTTCATTTGTGATTGTATAGAACGAGCCCAGTTTTTCCAGTGCATCGTCTCCAGACATATTATGACCCACAACATCTAGAATTCCTAGCCAGCAGAAACAACAACTGAATTGGCTGAGAATTCAAGAAGCCGATGTCCTATTTGTATGGGGCAGGCCCAGATACTAGCTTTGATTTTAAAGATCTGGTAATAATTTCAGTTCAAATGTACAGCTGGATGTAAACTAAGGTTTGTTACAAATTTGGTACCAAGGAAGATCCATTCTACTTCTTGGACAAGTTATGGAAACAGGAAGCATGTGGATCTTTTAAACATGCCAGCTTTGCATATTTATGTCTGTTCTGTAACTTGGCTAATCTTGAAAAGCTAAACCAGTCAGATCTGGTTAGTCCTTTAATAGAAGATCACTAATAAATCCTGGGTCTAAGTTTTAGACTGGGAAGTTGAGAAACTGTCTCAAAAGAAAATGATGGTAAATTGCTTTAATATTGTTGCCAACAAATTGACATGGTTGTATCCCTGTAAACTTATCAGGCTCAAGCTCAATTCAAGGGAATCTTTATCTTTTTATCTCTGAAGATGGAGAAGAAACGTTATCAGTTACAAACTTGCATCACTTTGATGAAAATCTCACTTAAGAATAAAGAAGAGCAGACAGAATTCACACACCAGTGGTAGATTGTTACCGGTAGTAGCTTGGCGGCCTGGGTTGCTGGAACCGGCAGCGACCCAGGCCTGCCACGCCCCCAAATCGGTTCTCCTGGTGGCGTCATATGTGTCGGCATCTTGGTTTTTTTGCTTCTGCACATGCACAGAGCAATTTTGCTTCTGCGCATGCATGTGCATGCAGCGTGCATCAAGTGTGCAGGGTACATCCCTGAGCAAACTGGCAGTAGTCTCTTCCGGAACCCGCCCCTGCTACACACCACATGGTCCCGTCTTGTTCATACAGAATAATAGATTTGGAAGGTACCTTGAAGGTCTTCTACCTACTCAAGCTGGATACCATTTCAGACAAGTGGTTGCCCAGCTTCTTCTTAAAACCTCAGGCAAAGACAAGCAAATTCACTGATTAATTGTTCTGTCAGGAAATGTCTACTTATTTCTAAGTTGGATCTCTCCTTGATTAGTTTCCATCCATTGATTCTTGTTTAGTATGAGCCCTGGTGGTGCAGTGGTTAGAATACAGTATTGTAGGCTCCTGCTCCCTGCCAGGAGTTCGATATTGACTGACTGAATACAATACTTGATNCCTGGTGAGTCTTAAGGCCTTTTCTGACTTCTTATCCTCTGCCTTGAGTCTTAAGGCCTTTTCTGACTTCTTATCCTCTGCCTTGAGTCTTAAGGCCTTTTCTGACTTCTTATCCTCCGCCTTGAGACCTTCCAGAAGGTCCGCCGGCAGATTGGAGGTAGAAGTTAGGGAGACCACCGGAGCGTCTACTTCAGGCAGCTTCAGGGCCACCTCCATCCTATTCTCCATGGTGTAAAGAGACTTGTCTCTCCCGTTAGGGTTGGTCAAGGTCCCAGGTTGAATCCACTGCCTCTGGACAATGTCCATAAAGAGATCCGGCACCGGAATTAATTCCTGGGCCGGGACAGTCTCCTTAACAGGCCTTCCTTGGTGCTCGAGGAACCAGCGGTAGACCCCTTGGGAGTAGAGCCCAACTCAGTGGCCGCTTTTGCTTTATGGAGGATGGACTTAAAGAGACAAGGTTTAAAAAGACCGGTGAAGGCCGGCTTATCGGGGGGAGGTCTTCGTCCTCCGACAACACAAAGTCCTCTACCTCCCCCTCCTCCAAGGCAGACTCTTCTGTAGCTACTGAGGTGCTAGGAGAGGCCGGGGCCTGCTCTACATTTTGCTTGGGAACCTGTTTAGGCTTTGGGGGGACCTCTTTGTTAGCACGATACTTCATGCCCTCCACAATGCCTTGGGAGATGGCCAGAGATATGATCTTCATTTCAGTGGACAGGGCCGGTCTCCTACTGTCCCTGTGGTGAGGCCTGCTAGAAGTCCCCCGGCTTCTGCACCCCCTTGAGTTGGACTCAGGAATGGTTCCAGCTCCTCCCTCAGGGAAGAACTGGGTGAGTCAGGGTAGTCTCAAGAAGCTTCAGGGGAGGAATCTCTGGAGATATCCCCTGCTGATGAAGGAGACCTGCTTGCCCGGGGGGAGTCAGGCCCCTGCTCAATCCTTTGCCCCGGGGTGGGATCAGGTGCCTCCCTGCGTTCCGGGGATGGATCTGGCCACCATGATTTGGGGGAGCCCCCCCGCCTTGCAGTATTTGGCACTGTCCCTGTTCTAATCGCCTTCAGAGGGCCCCGTGGGGTTCCTATTTGAAGGACCCTTACTCCCTTTACCCCCTTTGGGTGAGTGATCCAGCCTATTGCACTTGGCGGAGGGCCCTGGTTGCACCTCCTGAGCCTCCGAACCTCCGTCTGGCATGGTGGTTCAGACGAGGAAGAGATCACAAAGTGAAGCTTTCACCAGTAGGCCAGTTTGGGCACGAGCCAGCCCGCTGCGAGCGCCCGCAGATTGGTGTGGAGGAGAGGGATGCCTGCGGGACAGAACCCTTCCTCAGGCCGTCCACAGTCGTCCGATCTCCTGGACGGCGATCCGCTAATGCTGCTGAGATTCTTGGTTAAACCACCCGACTGTAGCAGCGCCAAGCCGATGACAATGGCCACCGCTACCTTTGCTGACACTAGAGCCCAGCTTAGGCCTCTGCCTCACATGCGCCTGCACATGGTTCGGAAAGGGTTCGCCCAAAATGGTCGCTGCTGCGCGTGCCGCTCCTATACTCTGTCGCCAGGGAAAAGCGCACAAAACACTTAAAATAGCCACCGTGACTGCTGGCTTCACTGAGAACCGCCAACACCCTTCGGAGCCTGGATAAGGCTCCGCGCTGCACCGAAACACCTGGTCGTTGGGGGAGAACACCGGTGGGAGGCCTCCCACCTTTCCCCACCGTTCGCCGGCTGCTGCCGGTGGAACAACTCACGCTTCCACTCCGCTTGCGACCAGCAGTAGCCAGCGACTCCGGCAACCTCTCAGCAGCGATAAACGGCATAACAGCAAGTTTTCAACTTAGATCTTTGCAGGTGGTCTTAAGGATGGCAATCAACAATTTAAAGAGTAAATATAATGGGAAGTCCACTCTATCTGCTTTAGGACCGAGGAACTCCCCAAATTTTAGTCCTCACAGGAGGACTAAGTTTTTAAACTGAGATTGAAGAGGCAAAGGGAGGCGTGGTCAAGGTGAAAAAAGATACTCAGTCTTAGGGCAGATAGACTGTGTTAATCCATGCTTGGACTCTCCAAGCAGCACTCAGGAGAATCGGGATGTAGAAGTATGCTTCCATGAGATCCACCGAGGAGAGGTGGTCATTTGGGCGAACACTCTCCAAGATGGATTGCAGGGAATGCATCTTGAACCTCCGATAAACTACATAGTAATTTAGACATTTGAGGTTGAGAATCACTCTCCAACCCCCCGAAGACTTCGGCACTATGAAGAGATGGAAGTAAAAATCCCAACCCAGTTGGTTAGAACGGACCTCCTCTGTGACCTGAATCTGAAGGAGATGCTGGATAGTTTTTTCCACCAACCTTCTTTTGATGATGTCCCTGGAAACCGGACATGAGACGAAGTGCTGGGGTGGGGGGGGCTGGAGAGAAACTCCAGAGCCAATCCGAATCTGATGGTGCGGCAAATCCACACATCTTTGGTGATGGCATCCCAATGATCTGCAAAGGCCGCCAAGCAACCTCCAATGGGAAGGGAACTCACAGTCACTTCTGCTTCTTGAATGGACAGTTAGAAGCTCCCTTGTAACACTTTCTGTATGTGAAATGTTGGTTACTCTTGCCTGACCTGTCATAAGTAGCAGATCCCTGCCTGGGGGAAGGCTGACTGTTGATGGGAGTAATTGAAACCCCCATCCGTGTTCCGAAAGGGCTGCCTGCAAAAGAAAGAGGAAAAATATTTATTATCAGTCTTACGCGTAGCAGAAGGCAGAACCTTTCGCTTATCTTTAGACTCAACCAGCATAGGTTCAAATAGAGGCCCAAATAGATGTTCCACAGAAAATGGTGCAGAAGCCAGTCTCCATTTAGCTCTGGCTTCTGCCTGCCACTATTTGAGCCACAAAAGACATTGCGTGGACACCGAAGAAGCTATGGCCTTGGAACGAAGCGTGCTGCATCCAAAGAGGCATCCGCGGAATACTCCATTGCAGCCTTAAGTCTGTTTAAGTCCTTGTGGGTTCTCGTGTCAGAAGGAGGAAGTCTCTCTTGAAGTTGCTTCAGCCAACGCAAAGCTGCCCTGTTAAAGAAAGAGGCAGAAGAAGAAGCCTGCAGTGCCCATGCAGAGGCCTGATACCCCTTGACCAAAGTCTGATCAAACCTTTTGTCCTCCGGGTGGAGGGCATCCTCAGATGCAGCTGTGGCAGCGTTAGGAGCAGACACCACCATTATCTGGAATACCTCCAGAAAAAGCTTAGGCGAAGGGACCACGTCCTTTTCCACTATAGGCCTGGAAAACAGAGGATCAGTCATGTCAGTCTTGTCCTGCTCCATTGTGACAGATGGCTTGGCTGCAGGAATGCCAGATACCTTCTTCGCCTTTAAGAGAAGGGAGCGAAATAACACAGGTTTAAACAGTCCTTCCAAGGAGGAAGGAGCAGGCATGAGATCCTCATCATCAGAAAGGTCAGAATCCCTGGAGACTTGTTCCTCCACCTCTGAAACCTGAGATAAAGAATCATTAGGTGCCCCCTGTGCCCTGGAAGGTTTAGCTTTCTTAGAAGAATGAGCTGCTTGGGAGGTAGAAGGCACAGCAGTGTGATGTTGCAAACCAGCAGCAATGCCTCTTTCTATGGCAGCTGCTATAATATCAGCCATGTCAGCCGGATAACAGGGAATCCCTCTTGGAGGAGGGGAACCACCATTCAGGTCAGGGGTGAGACTCCTTTCCCCTTCAGAATCATACTCATTAGGGACAACCACCCCATCCTCAGGCTGCAAGAGAGATGCGCGGGGAGAATGTTCAACATCTGTGTCAGTGGACAGTTCTTCAGGAGGACTCTGGGCCCTTGGAGAAGGAGTCACTGTGGCCTGAATAGGCTCCTCGCAGTGGTGAGACTTGGCCCTGGCCTTGTGGGGTCCTGTGGCAGGGGTACCATCCTGGGCCTTCTTATTTTGCGCCGGAACCTTGGCAGGCTTGGGGGGGACCTCCCTTACAGGACCCGCCCTTTTCCTGGTTGCTGCCTCCCCAACCCCCGTAGGTGGTATAGAGGCAGGAGGGCAGCCCTGAGGGGCATCTGCATTCAAATTATCTGAGACCTTGGACTCATTCTACTTACGACTTGTACAGAACTGTCAAAATGGCGGATGGGACCTTTGGTGGTTCAAAATGGCTACCTGCCCTTTTTCTTGCTGAAACCTCTTCCAAGATGGCCACCTGGAATCTTTGAGTCCTCTGAGGGACTGTAAAGGTGAACCGACAACACCGATTATGTCGCCACGACCTCCTGGTCGTCAGAGGCTGCAATCGCTAAGGCGATCAACAACAGCCGTAGCCCTGGGAAGGGAATCCACTGCTTCACAATGACAATCCGGAGCGACACGTTGGGATGGCGGCTGTGGACGGCTCGGGAAAGGGAGGCTGATGACCATCAAGTCTGCAGCAGCAGCCCAGAAGCTGCAAGAATCCAAACGGTGAACGGAGCTGGGAAGCCTCTGTGTAACAACCAAGCACCGAAAAGGCAGCAAACAGGCCGGAGAGAAGAACTCATGGGCCCAATTCCCTCAGAAACCGTTAGGACTCGGGAATAAATCCCGAAACCTTTGCACCAAGCACCAAATTTGTCAATTTAAGATTTAGAGTAGCCAATAAATCGAATCACAACTTAACACCAATTAATCCTACTTTTAGCTAATAAATCTGTCGGAGAGATCACCAGACACAGCTTGTCCAATGGAAACAGACTGAGTCTAAGCTGGAGGGGCCAGCACAGAGGGCGGGACTTGTCAATTTGGTAGACACAGTCCTATTGGATATTGGCCGGAATACCCATGTCTGGATGATGTCTCCACCTACTGGGAGAAATACAAGTTTTAATCCACGGCTGTAATTTGGGAAGCAGGGATGCTTTTAAGTTAATGTTAAGTGTTGGAAACTGTATGAATTAATCCTTACAGTTTTCTTGACAAGATTTTTGGAAGTGGTTTACCACTGCCTTCTTCCTAGTGTCAAAAACTGTGACTGGCCCAAAGTCACCCAGTTGGCTTTGTGTCTTTGTGGGACTAGAATTTGCAATCTCCCAGTTTCTAGCGTGATCCTTTAACTACTACGCCAAACTGGCACTCAATCAAATAGTATCTATTCCAAATCTTCTGGAAGATTTGAATGTATCTTATAGTGACTAAACCATTTTTTCAATATTGTTCTTTTCATTCTTTCCATATGAAAAATAAAGAATTTACTACATCTGTTTTTTAGGTGCCAAGACACTTAACACAGTAAGATTAATAGTTCTACACACAAAATTAGGAGTTCTAAAAGTTGATATATAATATTCTGTTGATCACTCTATACCAGGGGTCTGCAAACTTAAATATGCAAAAGAGCCATTTGGACCCGTTTCCCACAGAAAACAAAACACCGGGAGCCACAAAACCTGGGTGGGTGTGGCCAACTCAATGTCACTCACTCCCACTGAGTCACGACACTCCCCCAGCCATGTCTGCCAAGGTTTTGTGGCTGTCTGTGCCTGATTGGATCATGTGATGGACAAGTGGGTACTACACTGGGACTTGAACTTTCTTTTGAACTTTCTTTCTTTCGGTCTTTCTCCCTCCCCATCTCTTTCTCTATCTTCCTCTCTCTCCCCCTCTTTCTGTATACCTCTATCTCCTGCTATATCTCCCACTCTCCCCCCCATCTCTCTCTCTCTCTCTCTCTCTCTCTCTCTCTCTCTCTCTGTTTGTGTGTATATGTGTGTGTGTCTCAGAAAGAGGCAGCTGGGCCAAGCCAGCAAACTCTCCTTGGGGCTCTTCACTACTCCTTTTATTTCTTCTTTTTTGAAATCTGGGCTGGCTGAGGAACGATCACCAGCTGCAGCGGAGGCTTCCCTTCGGACGACCCTCCTCCTTCCCCCCTGCTTCCTTCTCTTCTTGTGACGCCCTAGCCAGCTGTGGTGGAGCTGGGAGGGTGTGCACTTGTGGGGAGACCCTCAAGCAAGTGCCAAAGCATATCAAAGGTGCACGCGGGGCGGGTGCTCGCTTAAGGAAGGTCTTAACAGATGCAAAATGTTGTGACTTCTCTCTTGCACTAAGGCTCTGGCTATTGCTTTACTGTGTCATCCTCAACTCTGGCAGCTCTTTGGCCAAGCGTAGAAGGCGCAAGCTCCAGCCTGAAGCACCAGGAAGTAAAGGCTACTTTATGCACAAATGTGGTGCGAAGGCAGGTACAGGGCTGCTTCACTCCTGCAATAAGGTTCCGACCTTTGCCATGTCTTCCCCTCCGCAGCTCTTCGGCCGAATGCAAAATGGCAGGACGCAAAGGCTGTTTTACCCATAAATGTGGCACAAAGGCAGGTACAAGGCTGCTCCGCTCCTGCACTGAGGCTTCGACCCTTGCTGTGTCTTTCCCCCGCAGCTCCCCGCACTGTGCATGCGTGGGGAGATCCTCAAGCTAGCGTCAAAGCGTAGCAAAGGTGCACACGGGTGGGCGGGTGCTCGCTTAAGGAGGATCTTAACAGGATGCAAAAGGTTGCAACTTCTCTCTTGCACTAAGACTCCGGCCATAGCTTTGCCATGTCATCCTCACCCCTGGCAGCCTTATGTACAAATGTTGCGCGAAGGCAGATACAGGGCTGCTTCACTGCTGCACTAAGGCTCCAGCCCTTGCCCTGTCTTCTCCCCTGCAGCTCTTCGGATGAGTACGGAGGGCAAGAGCTCCAGTCCAAAATGGCAGAACGCAAAGGCTGTTCTAGTCACAAATGTGGTGCAAAGGCAGGTACAAGGGTCGCTTCACTTCTGCACTAAGGCTCCAGCAACCCTCCTCCTCCTCTTGTGACCTCCTGGCCGGCTGTAGGTGCGCATGGCAAGGAAATGGCCAGAGCCTTAGTGCAAGAGATAAGCTGTATCCTGTTGGGCCCTGTTGAGACTCTCCTTAAATGAGCAGCTGCCCACCCCGCACGCACCTTTGTGTGCTTTGGCACTCGCTTGAAGGTCTTCCCATGCATGCGCACCATCCCAGCACAGCCAGCCATGAGGTGGCGAGAGAAGAAGGAGGGGAGTCACCCGAAAGAAAGTGGTTTCTCAGCCAGCCTGAATTTCCAAAAAGAAGAAACAAAAAGAGTATTGAAGCGCCCCAAGAGAGAGCTTGCTGACTTGGGCCAGCCACAGCTTTCCAAGAAAGAGAAAAGAGACACAAAGACAGAGAACACGATACACATACACATGGGGGGGGGGATCAGTTGAGGGCATCTTTGAGGAGGGCTTTCTCCGAGCCTGACCCCCGGGGTGGGCGTGCGAGGTTCAGTGGGGCCAGCTTCCTTTTCCCGCTGCCCTGAAACTCTTAAAAGCCGTGGCTGGGTGCTGCGGGCCCGTCCTCCTTTCCAACGTCCCCTCCTTCTGGATCCCATTCCCAACCCTCATGTTAACAAGACTGGTGTCAGTTGCGGCTGGACCAGGGCAGTGTCTCAGAGTGGAGAGCAGGTTGAGGGTCTTCCCAAGCAACCGAGGCATGCCCAGCGTCAACAAGGGCTGGAGGAAGCTCCACAAGAGTGAGGCGCTGTAGAATCAGCCCCGGTCACTTCTCCACCCCCTGCCATTGCCCTTACCGTCTCAGGCCAGGCGAGGGAGGGGCGAGGCCAGCCAGTAATGTAACAGGGAGCTGCAGCTGAGGCCTCCAAGAGCTGCATGTGACTCGGGAGCCATGGGCTGCAGACACTCACTGTATACCTTATTTTCCTTTCAATTAAATTGTGAGCTACTACAAATATACATAGAGCTAATAGGGATATTTTTCAAAGTGCAAAGGATTTCTGATGCTCGGAAAGAAGGCAATAGCATAAAATTAATAAGCATGATTAAATGCTTGTATATATCAAGACACAAATATATGTATTGAAAAAGTTTCAAAAAAAGCTATGGATGCCTCAATTGCAACTCAGGTACTTCATTTTAATTAGGAATTAAGATTCTTGCTACATCTAAATAAAGATTGCCATAGTAATTTTAACCATCTAGTCAAAAAAATTTAAACTTTCTCCTTATTTTCACTTTAGAACAAACTATATCACAAATTTGTTGATAGCTTCTTGTTGTCAAAACATAAACAAAGTTACAATCTAAAGATAACGAAGAATCTGTGCGTGTTCTGAAGCTATCCTCCCTTTAGTATTGCTTCTATGAAAAAATATTACAAGAATTCTTCCTTGATTTCTTTGAAAATCAAATTCCCTTTCTAGTCATAATATTAAAGGCAGTATCATTCAAATGTGTCCTCTGTTTCACCTTTATTCTTTGTATCCATTAAAAAAAGTTCTTAAACAATTTATAGATATTGATGTCAGAGTGCTGTTCAATATTTAACAATATTTGACATTCCTTTTATAATGCTTTTGCTAATTATTTTCATTTTAATATAAATAGGTCTCAAATGACTAAAATATTAAAATTAATACTGTAAATTAAATATTTGATGTTATGAAGCCAACATTTGAAATTATTGTTTTATTATTAGTATAAAATACTTCAATTATAAAACATAATTATCTTATTTATCAATAGATTTGGCCTAGCAGAAGATGCAGTTTACACATTTACAATATTGAAGCTATAAACCAAAAGAGAAAAACTTTATCAAGACCATGCCTGCAAAATGAAAGTCTGACTATTTTCCATGAAAACGAAATCAGTATTAAATAAATTTGCTCTTCAAACTGGGAATTAGAAACAAAACATTTAAAGCCCTAAGGACTTTTTTGATAACATAAAAATCATATACTGATATAAGATCTGACAAACTTCCATAATAATGAGCATTTTTAGATAATAGATTATATAGTGCCATATAAAAATGCAGCAATGAGTTTTCTATGAACACATTCAAGTACACAAGATTTTTTTTGTTGCATTATAATGCTATGTAAGACATTACTGCCAAATAACAAGTCAAAACATTTTGTTCAATTATTACATAGGACTAGAAAGTGATCTTAAAAATAGTACCTTTTTACTGTACAATTTTATAATCTAACTGCAGTCATAGTGCAACCCTCTCTGTAATTTATAACTTAATAATCAAGCATGTTTTGGCAAAGTAATTACAATAACTCACACCAAAAATGCATAATGTCAGTCCTTCAAGCCCTCTGTTCTTGCTATTTCAAATTTCTGAACAGATCTTGCTAAAGAAATCTATATTTAGAGGAGTTTTGAAACTGAAACAAAGCATTGTTGAATGCAAGTATGTATCAAAGTGAAAATGTTGGTAAATTATCTGTTAGCTTTATACTTGGAAGCATCTCTTGGTTCACTGCTAGGGTTACTCCAATCATCTGCTTCTGGAGTGGTTTTGTAATGTCGCCAAGCTGACTTATTAAAAACTGGTAGTCTTTCAAAAGATTCACTTGATAATGCCTAAAGAAAGAAACAGGGAGAAAACATCCAAGTGATTACAAGAAAATTTAATCAAGTGAGATCATTCTAAATGAAGAAAGAGTGTACATGCTCAATACAGATTTAATGGAACATGTATTTTATTTCATATTTATATTTTCAATCTTTATTTCACCTTCTGTATTTTTTTTAACTGCAGCATGTGGATTTGTATCTTCTTACTGCAGATACATAGTCATATTTAGTTAATGAAGTCTTACAATAAAATATATTCCAACTCAAATTTGGAGTTTGTTTCAATAATGAAACATTCAATTGTCTGTTAGCTGGAATTATGCTTTCTATCTCAATGTTTCCACTTAGGAGCAGCTTTATTGGAAAGAATAAACAGAGAAAAGTTTAGTAATGTTACAACTGAACTTTGTTACCAATCTGGTTCCGAAGGACATTTTATTATCTATGAATGTTCAAGAAAATGTTCTCAGAATGTGGAAAAATATTATCTTCAGTAAATCAGAATGACTTCTGGTACAAATGCATAGCAATAAAGCTCTTGCCTTGACAACAAAATATAATCAGCTATACAATCTCAAGAGTTAGTAGAGTACATTCATAGTGTTCTCTTATAATAATCCATTATTACCTTCAAATAGATTACTGCATCTGTACCAACTCCTTCCATAGAATATAATTTGAGGTCACCTTGAAAATATCGAGCATAAAGACGAGATATTGGCAGACCATACCCATATCCAGCCTAAGGGAAAAAATCATTAATAGAAAAATTAAAAAAACTGAAATATTAACAGTGACAGAAGCAGGAATCGTCACAGAGATTCCTCTGTGTTTTTATAATTAAAAATACCTTCCACTATGAGAACAAAAAGCATGCTATGCATCTATTCCTTTTTACAAAAAAATGAAAATTACATGCATAAAATGGCAATTGCTTTTTTAATATATGTACCATATAGATTTCCAGGAACATTTAAGGTGCTGTATATATCAGGTCTAATAGACACTCATTTCCTCCTATAAGTCTGTTAAATTGGGGCTTTATTATGTATATGGAATTGACAAGTAATGGCTTTCAAATACCTTTTTAATTCTCAGAACAGTATTAAGCTATTTTCTAGTCTCAAATTCTGAATTTCATCCATGTGTTATCTTATATATATTAACATCATTCTTATTGTCATTACAAGAAGTGCTCTCCCATACCCAACAATCACAAGGTGGATCACTCAGATCCCAGCTAAGATTCATGATTCAGAGACATTTTGAAACTGGGACTCTTCTTTCTAAATAATACACCAATGGTTGTTCATTTTTAACACTGTAAAAGTCAGGTTTGTTTTTAGGGAAAAAAATTATTTTATTTCTATGCCATCCAATCCCTAAAGGTTGCTAACAATCTCAACATAATATTTTTCCAAGACTTTCTAAGTAGCCTTTTTTTTAAAAAAGAAAATTGCATTTTTCTGTCATTTTCTCCAAATCACTTGTTCTACTTATTGCTGCCTGTTCTCTTTTATACTGTATGGTATGAATCAAGTGCCATCTAGAGATGCAAGAAAAACTATTTTACATGATTGTATTTTATTTTGAACCATTTCTACAAACTATTATGTAATCTATAAAATGAACATTCCTCATAGCACAGAGTCTATATTAAACTTTCAAACATATGTAGCAAAGAACAAATCTCAGTAATTTGAGTTCTGGTGCAGATTCTGTTTCTTACTGCAATTTTTCAAATGAATAACCCAATCCTCTTTCATGGCTTCTGCATTAATCATTGTGCAATGTTACATCTGCATCTATTAAACAACCTAATAGAAAAGAAACGCAGAAAGGGTAGGTTCCAGTGTAATTGGATTACAATTTATTATGGTCAGTAATACTGCAGCTATGCTGATGTAATATTTTTCCAATATTTTTCACAGCAGCTGCAAATGCAATTATATTTTAACTTCTCTCTCTAAAGTTATATCATAATTTTCTACAGGTAGTTCCCAACTTACAACCACAGAGGAGCCCAAAATTTCTGATGGTAAGCAAGCAGTTGGTTAAAGTCATGGTATGACATTTTTGCTGCAGTTATTAAGCAAATCATTGCACTTCTTAAGTGTATCATGCAGTTTTTAAGTGAAGGCTTCCCTCATTATCTTTGCTTGTTGGAAGCCATCTGGGAAGTTACGAATGGTAATCAGATGACCTTGAGACAGTACAATTGTCAAACACATGCCAGTTGCAAAGCACCTAATTTATTTTATTTTATTTTAATTGAACAAAAACACAAAAAAAGAATCATCCTTCACTACATCTTGTAGAAAGTGTGTCGATTGGTTACAGATAACTTTTGTGCATTTCTTCCACAGTCATTACTAGTAGTACATATTAGATTATACACTTTAAGTCAAAAATCTTTGTATATCTTACTATCAATGAACCACAATTCTCATTTTACTACAATTATTTGAACATGTCTTTACCTCAAATCATTCATATTTAAAAACACAACCACATAATGGCATTTATTAGCCATTTCAAAAAATCCTCCAATAACATTACACCTTTATAGCATCTTTTAAGTAAAAGTCAATTAATAAAGTTTCTAAGCCTTTCCCCCCCATTTTTCCAACTCAATGATTAAAATTTACATCCAAGTTACTTTTGCCAATACCATAGCATGTGTATATTGTTAAACAATGGCCATTAACATTTCTTTGTTATTATTATAACTGGCTAAAAATCATTTACTATTTATGTCCCACCTCCTGTCAGACCCCCCAAAAAGAAAAAACCTTACGCCTTTATAACAATATCTAAATAAAAAATTGTTAAAAAATTTTTATAAGTCTTTTTCCCAAGTCACAATTTGCAATTTATATCCATTACTTTAGACAATACCCTAGCATGTATATTTTGTTAAACAATATCCAATAACATTTCCTTGTTGTTATTATAATTGGCTAAAAATCATTTACTATTTATGTCCCACCTCCTGTCAGACCCCCCAAAAAGAAAAAACCTTACGCCTTTATAACAATATCTAAATAAAAAATTGTTAAAAAATTTTTATAAGTCTTTTTCCCAAGTCACAATTTGCAATTTATATCCATTTTTTTGCTAGATTAGCATACATGTTAGTTTATATCCATTTTTTTGCTTATTGTTATTGTAGTTATTTAATTGTAGCGAATAAACATTTGATAACAATCTAAAACAATCCAAGAGTTACAGAATTCCTACTTATTAATCACCAAAATCAACTGATTTTTTATTATCAACTTTCATTATCCACCTATATCTTTCCAGTAACAAAAAATCTTATCTCTCTTGCCAATTGTGGTGTAAGTA